ATTTCGTTCCTATCGCACCACACCCCGGTAGCTAGTAGCATAAATAAACACAATAAGAAACAAACACTGCACTCACCGTGGCAGTCTGCAATTGCGTACTAATGGCCAATACAGTAAACTTGATTTGATTTTTATTCCTTGTTAAGGCTTGCCCAAGGTTGTCCTCATGAGCGTGATTTCCTGTCGATAGTTTTGCTTTCCGGATTCTTGGCACAGCTTTTCCCATCGGTATTCATCCAATTTGTTTTCATGCCATGTTCTTCTTTTTTCACTCTTTGTATGCACTTTCCAGTTGATTGATTGACTCAGTTGAACTAGTGTTGTTTCTATGAATAGGGAATTTCGTTATATTCTGATAGTAGGTGGGAACAAAAAAAAAACTATAAGATCATGAAATGTGCAACTTCGTAGCATGAGAACGTCAAAGCACCAACAGATCAGCAAAAAAATGCGCCATATAAAAGGGTAACTCCATCAAATGGGCTGCAATCAAACTACTTACCAGAGGATGACATTTTCCACATTTTTCAAAGTAATACGAAAAGTATGAGGCTTCATAATCTTGGCAGCATATATTATGGTAACATAGTTTTGATTCCTAGCATTTCATCGTGCTATTTCAGAATGTACAATTGCAATCACTATGATAAGTGAGTTTAAAATTCGTAGAATGGTTGCTAGTTTAGCGAGGCCGTAAAGCACGAAGCTATCGACCGAGTAGACGTAAATCCGGGGTAGTACCAGTTTGAAACGGTAGTGGTGGGACGAAAAAATGAATATGGTTGTGGAATGATTAGAAAGATGACCCCTTCAAATGCTGCTTAAACACTGTGATTTGTTCACGATACCTATGTAGCGCATTCTAACGAAAAACCACGAAAGCGCATTGAAAAGAACGTGATAACACCGGGGCGTATACACTGGTAGCATGCACACCTTGCTCTGATAGCGTAAATAAAGAGTCACAGTGTCCCTTTTGGTACGCGAAATGAATACGAGCGACCGTAAAGTTACGGTAGTTACTATACTTTGTGATTCACTTTTTAGAAGTAACGATGGGAAAGAAGAAAGCTATACAAAAGTCGAGTAAGGGAGATTTAATACCAACTCCTGGACCGTTGGAGCAGCAACTCGAAGGAGCGAAGTTAGCTAAATCCCGTTCCGAGATCCGTGAAAAAAGGAAACGAAAACCGGAGCAGGAGACAGAAGAGGCTGGTTACTATTCAGAACTTTTTGCCTCCCGTTTGTGAACTTCAGCTTAATTCAAGCCATTGATTTCAGTATATTCCAAACGACCTGTCTGGGAAAATAATTGCTCAAGCGAGGAAGCAGCTGCATGAGATTGGAGATGAGGACGATTCAGAAAAGCAAGATAACACCAAGAGGTGTGTAAGTATTTGGATTACTGCTACGCTGCTTTCATTTTTCGAAGATGCTTTAGGTAGTGCATAATTTGCCAAGTCATGTCTAAATGTAGGATAGTCACTGTCTGAAATTCGTTGAAATTGGCTGGCAATGCTTGCGTTTTTGATGATTTTTATGTCTCAAAAATTATCATGTTTGTACCATTACGTTGGCGAATTCTTGCAACTTCTTCAACATCTCGCTTTTTGCTAGCATATCTGGAGCTGAAATTTGTGGATGGTCTTACATCCTATAGCTTGTTGAGGTGCGTGGTCAGATTGAGAATAACTAAAAACTGTTGCGATATGTACAATGTTCTTTGGTGGGGGACTTTCGATTTTTTTTCTCTGTCCAGTGTTTTGTTTTCACCGCCTCTGTAGTATGGCATTCGAGAGATTATTTCAGTTACAGCAATCACTCCCGGATTGTGGGAACATAAAGCGATACCTTATTTGGACTAGGCTTTTTCTTGTTCCAATGTCTTGAATACCACCTGTTTTGAAGGATGCGGCAAGTCAGCCTGGGTGCCGGCAGTGAAGAAGAATTTGACTTAGAAGAACACTTAGATAACGACTATGTAGACCAAGTAATAGTGAGTTGTTTCTTCTTCTGTTTCTGTTTCTAAAAGACTGTCTTTCATAACTAAGCCTCATATGTTTCATACTTGCTCAAATCACATCCTCTATTATCATATATTTTTTGTTGTTCTCCAGGAATTGGATCCGAAAGATGAAGCTGAGCTTGCGAAGTTTATGATTAGTAAAGAAGGCGGAACTAAAACGCTCTACGACATCATACAAGCGAAAATCGACTCTAAAATAGACGATGCAGAACTCGCACTGAGCTCTGTGGATCCAAATGAGTTTAATGTGAGAATTGCTGGTTTTATTCCCTTTCAACTCTATCGTTTTGACAGTAATTCATTGTAGGTACGTGACCTCGATCCTGAAGTTGTAGAGATGTACAAGGAAATAGGGAAAGTTCTCGCTAAATACAGAAGTGGCAAAATACCGAAAGCTTTTAAAGTGATACCGAAAATGGTGAACTGGGAGCAAATATTATAGTAATTTTTCAATTGTTTACTTATTGAGTTTTTTCAATGACGTAGGGTGTTCCAGTTTAACCGATCCTGACGGATGGAGTGCTGCAGCAGTTTATCAGGCTACTCGACTTTTTGCCTCAAATCTCAATCCTAGGATGTGCCAAAGGTCCGTGGTCTGTTGGATACTATGGGTTACTTCTTAAAACCGATTGCTTTCGCAGATTTTATAACCTCGTTCTTCTTCCACGTCTTCGAGATGACATAGATGAATTCAAAAAACTTAACTTTCACCTCTATCAAGCTCTTTGCAAGGCTATGTACAAACCAGCAGCGTTCTTCAAGGGCATTATACTACCACTTTGTGAGGTAGGTTGAGTCTTTGGTATGTTGAGCTTCAAGTTTAACTTTTCCCATTTGGTTAAGCAGTGCTGACCTCTTTGAATAGTTCTTGTATCTTAGAATACCTAAGCAATCGACTCATTTTCAAGAGAAGCTTTTGGATGGTGTGAGCTTGATTATCACTGATATCTTTTTAGTCGGGCACTTGTACTCTACGTGAAGCAACAATATTCAGTTCCGTGTTGGCCAAGGTTTCAATACCAATGTTCCATGCGGCTGCGGCTATGTTGAAGGTATTTTTGGATATATACTTATCCTGAATGGTGAAAGCTACTATTTTTTGCTGCATATTCAGAAACTAGATTGAAAATGAGTTTCTACGTAATGACAGTGTGATTCACGTTCATATTGAACTTAGATTCATACTACACTAGCCCAGAAGTACGTTAGCCTGCACAAAATACTCGCAAAATGCCATCATTGTAGCTTGATAACAAAAGGGATTTGACTGTTCTAAGACGAAACGAAGGTTTAGTGCTATAAACGAACTTCAGCGTGAGTTTGAGATTACTCCTCTTTGCTCAAAAACTTAATTGAGTTCAGATCTCGGAAATGGAATATAATGGAGCCAACTCCGTTTTTCTCAGAGCTCTCATTGACAAGAAATTCGCACTGCCATACAAAGCGATTGACGCACTTGTATCGCATTTCCTCCGGTTTGTGCACCATTACTTATATACGACATGTATACGGTTTCGTTTGAGGAAGGTGTTTCTAGGATGAAGAATGACGAACGCGAAATGCCCGTACTTTGGCATCAGTGCTTACTGGCTCTCTGCCAACGTTACAAAAATGATTTCAGTGCGGAACAAAAAGCTGCCATCATGGATCTCATAAGGGTTGGCCAGGGGACCGGTTGTTGTCTTTTCTACAAATTGTTCATATCTGTTTTCAGTATCAAGGGCATTACCTGATTTCGCCCGAAATCCGTCGTGAGCTTGAGTCTAAGGCTGTGGAAGGTGAACCTGGAGAACAAACAGTCGTTAAGGTTGACGTTATTGCGAGAGCGAATGACACCATGGAATTCTAACGTCATGTATCATGTTGTTTCCTTCTGTTTGTTGTTGTTGGTTTTACTGTGGTTTCATTTTGTTGGAAATTGAATGTTCTATTCGTTTCTGTTATTTGTACTATTCAGTACCGTTGCGCTTCAGAGTTTATTGCACAATTGTTATGCTTAAAGGTAGGGAAATAAATAGCTTATTTTGCGTTTTGTAATAGTTTTTATTGGTGACATCTGCTCCGCCATTGAGGCACTATTTCGCTTTTCAAGATATTACCTTCATAACTTGTAACCACGGCAACGCAACAAAGCAGGGACAGGCACAAATTTATGGTGTTTCTAGCAATGATGCTTGGGAGATCCCAGTCCTTGACCCGATGTATCTACTTCCTGTGTCCAACAGTATCTTCTGCGACCATCCCTCACATAACTCAACAGAGATGGTTAGTTTTTTTTTCACTATTTAATCTCACTCTTCTAGAATCAACTCTTTAGGGTCCAGTCTAATGCGACTAAATCTTTGAATGGTAGCCGTCGTCGTGCTCCATCGTTTGCGAGCGCTTCTGATATTGTCCTCGCATCCCCAGCAGCTGTACGGCCATATTTGCAGATTATGCGGCTTGACAAGCCAATCGGTAATGAGATTCTTTGAGCTTGTTTATCCACAAGCTTCTCCGTTGTTAGTGCTTGAATAGATATGCACTAGGCGTTATATATGTGTAGTTATGTACAGTATGGTGTGTAATCGACAAAAAGTGGATTGAAATCCAATTTTTGATGACAGGTGTTTTTAGGCACCTGGTTGCTGTACTGGCCATGTACGTGGTCCATCGCTCTTGCTACTCCAGCCGGTCATCTTCCCTCTTTATATTACCTAGCACTTTTTGGCGTGGGAGCGATTCTGATGCGCAGTGCTGGTTGCGTAATCAATGACTTATTTGATAAGGAATATGATAAAAGGGTGTGTCTGAAAGAAAATTGGTCAGACTTTTGAGGAATAGTTAACTTCTCTTTATTTGGTCCAATGATCGATGTTTCAAGGTTGAGCGCACGAAAAACCGTCCTCTCGCCTGTGGTTCATTGACAGACAAGCAGGCAATAGCACTTTTGGGTGGATTGCTAGCGACATCTCTAACTGTCCTCTTGCAGATGAACTGGTTCAGGTAATTGCCTTTCAACAGCTTGAGTTGCTTGCGAGCGCTAAGAACTTGAACTTGATTTGAAAAAAGACCGTTCATGTTATTTTATTGAATCCTATGACGTATAGAAGCCTTTTACAAGTTTGATAGTCAGTGAGTTCCACTCTTAAACAGGGTGCCATTCTTCCAACTTTATTATGAAGGCTAGAACTGTTAGAGTTGTTAGGGTTCATGGCGGTAAGAGCTCCCCTTGGACAGAGACTGGTTTCAAATGACACTGCCACTCCTAATATAGAGCGCCTCTTTTCAACAGCCTCTTTTTGTAAATACTCTTTGGTTTACCTTGACTAGTTTTGAGCGTTTGTTTTTAAGTTAACTTTTCTCCCAGGTTCAGTGGCATCCATTATTTTCGAACAGTGGTAGAAAACCGTTGTATAGCTGCACAATCTTTTATAAGGTCAACCCTTGCTTTAAATACAGTGTGTGTAGAGTTATTTCTGGTTTAAAACGTTACAATTACTGGATATTGGTCGTATTTTGTCAGGGACAATAAGTTAGTTTTTATTCAAAATTTTCAGTGTTGCGGTTGGCTCAGCATCAATGTTTTTAGTAGTTGTATATCCACTGGCGAAGCGGTACACTTATTGGCCTCAGTTCGTCTTAGGTGAGCTTTCTTTATAGATTTATTAGAAGTTCGGCTTTTGTTTGTGCTGGGGTGAGCAGTTTCTCGAAACTTTGGTGTTGCTTCGGAATTCAGGTATCATACCACTAGAAAAACTAAATTCTCGAATGTTGTGATTATAGTACTAGAATGTTAGAAGATTAAAGGAGCTCCTTCTTTTCGTTGGAGCGGCAGTAGCGCAAATACATGAAATATTGTATTTATGCATAATTTCCGAAAGAATATCAATGCGAAGGTATTGTCTGCATTATAATCGCACCGCTATTTGCCTCCAGAATCAATACAAAAACATCACCCTGAACAGGAGATAGAGTCTTGGACCGGTATGCCGAGAAACAGCGATTTTTAGCTGAAATGATTCAGTTTCAAGTAATCAAAACGTCAATTTTTGTAAGTGAACATTCTCTTTCTATTTTGTATGGAAGAAGCTCACGTAGACGTCGCCTTTATGGGTTGTTACGTTCGCTTCGTACACAATATGCCCACCTATACAAGATTTTTTTCGCCGTGAAAGAGTAGATGTTGTAGGCTGGATTGTGCCGGGCTACTTGACCAGTTTCTGCGACTCCTATCTGATAAACAGCCTTATACTTATAATCTAACGATTCCTTAGTACATCGCAGAATACCGCATTTGCCGCGTTTCCATATTGTTTTTTTGTACGGTTTATGAGCATGGTTCAGGTGTAGAAGTGTAAGATTCGTTACAGGAGCCACCCTCAACTGGGGT